TAAACATTGCCGTAGCCTTATGATTCAAAATTCACAGAAGAACACCAAATGCTTTTGTGTTTAACGAACTCATCGACTACGTCCGGAAGTTAAGTACAACATCACATTGATACAGTCAATCGTTTAGTGCTCTGTTTCGAATTCATATCAGAAGAAGGTGCTGTTTAACTTTTCAACGAGTAATACTTACTTGTTACGCTAAAGCATAATTTTTCTGAAATATTCCGAAGATTTTATACACGTCGGAGGGATAAATAACCGCAATATATTTAAAAAGAAAAGTAATGCCATTAAGCAATAGAAACAGATTTGCTTGTTTGCAAACATTGTTAAATGTTTTTTGATTTACAAGATTCGCAATTTTTGCGGCAGTATATATCATGAACTAGTATTAACACGACTAACTAGCACAAAATCATCTTAAATTTCATAAAAATTTAAACTTAGAGAATTTCTATTATATTGCAATCTTATTTGCATTGTCAAGGTTGAAAAGTCAAAGAAAAGCCAAAGAATCCTATCTGCACCAAATAACGTAAATGTTTAGCAGTTTGAGTTCCAGTGGAGAAAACTTTAAGAATTAAAGCCATTGAATATCGTAAAAAGCTTAGGCAACCGATGATTTTTAAAGTCGATAATGATATTCACCCGATTTACAGAAATTTATTCAAGATAAGAGATAATTTTATTCTGGTATTAAGTGGTACGTGCAGAAAAAGTCCTGAACATCATAGATAACGATCGACTTTAACTGAAACCGGGGTAAAGATAGTCTTGGAGCTGGCGTAAGCTGTCAAAAACAGTCATAATGACAGTTACAAGAACATCATAATTGCATGCAACAAAAACCTAGCCTACAAAATGGTTATATATGCTCACACATATATATATATACATATATTTGTTCATTTATTTTACAAATACCGTTAAACCTTTTTTCTATTCAAACATTATGTAGAGGGATCCAGGTTTTGACTTCCTGTAATCCGAATTAAGGATCTTGATACTGTGAGAATTATTAATCATTTGTTCATTATATTCAATTGGGCGGTAGTTATACGGAGTATACCGTAGAAAAGAAAACACCGAGGTTTTGCTGAATAAGTTGATGCGTAAATATACAAGTTTCATATATTTTCTTCAGTACAAATTATTTGCATCAGAATACTGTAACTGTGAACGATTTCTATCACCATATCTGCCAGTATCATTTTCCAGTATATAACTTAGAAATTCAATGTTTTTAGCTGATTTAAAATCAAGGCATGAAAAATCGTGAGCTTTTATTTTTATAAGCTATGAAAGTTTACTTAACCGTATTTGATATGATGAGTAAATGCTAATGCTTAAAATAGCTTAGTGCCCGTGAAATTGAAATATATCTACATTATGTGAGTTTTGCATAACATTATTAACACGTACACCCGTTTATCGATCTGATGTAATATGTCTTGGTTATCAGAATTAGGAAGACAATCAACCTGAGTAACAAGTGAATCTCATTTATCCAGCTGACAAGCAAACCATTTGTAGCCTTATTTAAAGAAGAGATTTTAGTAATTTTCATGCGCAGCTGAGGAATTCGACGTCACTTTTGCATAACGACTGCATATTATACAAATTATTTATAATAAACCGCGTAAATCGGGTTCATTAAAACTATTCGCTTTTTAATTCAAAATTGTCTGAAGAATCTGAATAAAAAGGTGGAAATGACTATCGCGTTTTAAGAGCAATAATAAAAACCAATTATCCCACACCACTACTCACAAGTAACTGTGAGTCAAATTTGAAGCAAGAAAACTGTTCTATTTTTGCTGTAAGATTTAGTTGTTGGTGGTTATTGTAGATAAGAATTCAGAACTAGGGCTTATCAACTAATGAAATTCAAAGTTTTGTGGTTTGCGTAACATAAAAGATAAATCCTTAATTTTCTAATGCTTTCAATCATCGTGCTGTTTATAATATCTGTATGTGTTTACCAGGATGAATGATAAAATGATGCCAAGATTAGAATGCAAAACCAGGAGTCATTGATTCACTTTGTCGATAAAAATGTTATTCAGACCAATAGAAAGAAATCTATGCTAATGATATCTTAAATCAACCTGCCCCTAACGTTTATCTGAAGAACTATATAGTTGATCAAATCCAATGCAGGTAGCATTGCTCATTTGGAGGTCGAATTCATAATATCAATCCTGAAGAGCTTAGAGACAATGTGTCACTGCTTGAGCAACTAACGGTGCATTTCTATTTATTTGATGGATCCCTAAGTAAAGTCAAGGAAGGCTTTCAGCACCCTGAGGGGTAAACTTTCAACGTAATTCACAAATACTGTTGAAGAACTAAGGCAATGTGCTAGAAAATAAAAAATAAATGATGAAACCGACGTAAAAGGTGGGTTGACAGATTAGCAATTAATTATGAGACTCAATGAGGTGCACAATAAATAGTGATTTACTCTGTTGTAGATGCCCGGACGGTGAGAATTATGGTTTTATAGCTGGTACGGGAATTAGAGAAAGCATCAGGAATTTTGTTGTGCAAACAGGAGTATGAATTATTCCAAAGCACTTTTGTAAACCGGTAACATGCATCAAAATGCTTGGGAAGAGTGAGGTCAGCAAGATAAACAGTCTTCATCTTTTCAACCTGAAAAGGTGAAGGAAGAATGATACAACAAATGAGCTACAATGCATACGTATTAGGCCTTAAGGAGCGTTAAGTTTCCTAAGTCTGTAAGCGTAAAGAGGACAGCTTGGGAAATTTTATAAATGCACTCTCATGATGCAATCGAATAGCCCATATAAGTGTCCTTAGGGATAGGGTGACCAAAAACGGTGAGAGTTCAAAAGTTTTGAAAACCCAACGGGTATAAAGAACTGCATTTGGCACTAAACAGGAGCTCAACGCAAGTTAAAAAATTGAGCTCTAGGAAGCGGGATATAGAGCAGTTACACAGGTTAGTTGAATGGTTTCGAAGCGAGGAAATTGGGTGAAGAAATATCGGCATGCATAAATGGAACAAGAACATCGTCTGCAACGTCTGAAAAGTTAGAGAAACGCAGATACTTATGTGCAGAGAGAAAAAATAAGCTAAAAGAATGGTTTATGCTGATGGGGAGAGCCCAGATAGAATAAGTTCCAGCTGCATGATTTACTATAACTTCGTCATGATACTTTGAAAAAATTCCGACTGGTGTTTCGTAATACTATAACTCCAAGGTCCTAGGGTAATTATTTGCGTCGTGGCTAAGAAGACTCAAAATGGTGGATTGTTTTTACACTGAGTGATTTTTCATGCAATGGATACGAACGACGTTCCATCTCTTACTCTTCTACCGCAGAATTTGCTTTGGAGAATGTTCTTAGAATTTCTGAAAGGAGAATGAACGAACGAATGAATCTATCATTGTCTCATGTCTTAGTGACAATAATGAGTATACACAGTGTACAATTTTAATTTACATGGACATTTACTGGAATTTTCGTGAGGTTTATTCTTGTGTGCATTGTATAAATATGAACGGGGCAAGGGTAAAATAAAAAAAATGGATCCTAGCATATTGGGTTAACTAATTATATTTTTGCCTGTTGACCGTTAATTATTTCGCAAAGTTTCCATGGTTAAACCAGGTAGCTACTTCGTTGTTTGATATATAAGCGAAATACCACAGTTATTTGTGAGAAAAAGCAACAACAATTAAAACAAATTAGTGAAGTCAGAAAAGATAAAAGAAAAAAGACAACAGGATTTTGTGCAATTTAGTTCGATCTTTTGAATGTAGGATTCGTAGAGGGGAAGTAATCTAATCTGAGAGAATTGTTACAAATTTAGAGGAACATCTTTGAGAGTACTGTAACCACTTCAGAGATGGGTCATTCCTAGTTATGACAATGCTACTTGAGCGGTTTAACTCCATGTATCTGGTTCACGTGATTTCTCATATTCGACTCTGGTCACTACCACCGACAGCTTTAATAGCACATCTATCCTGTGAGAGAATAAAACGATTCGTCATCACAAGGATCTGCGATTACTTTTTTGGCCTTCGTAACCAGGTTCGCTTGATTGTAGAATAGATTTCTTGCACGGTTTACCGCGTTCAAATTTTTCATGCAATGTCATCAAAAACACTTCCCTCTGGACTATGAAACAATAAAATATAATCTATTACTTCAAAACTGGGGTTCACTAACATCTGTTCCCAATTATGTTGCAAGTGATTCCTAATTACAGTTCATAACTTTGCATCAGTGCAACCGGAGACCGTTTGTAAAATTGTGGATCTCGTCAGACATGTTGTTCCTCTTGGATGGATGTGGATCCAACAATTCCTGACGTCAGAAAGCTCGTAAAATCACCAATGCTCGTACGTCTAGGTTATTAGAGTATCTTTTGTCATTCTTCTAGACTAGAAAGCTATCGAGTAGATGCAGTCAACTTTTTCTGAACCATCATCACACAATAGTCCTTCAGTCAACCACAACAAAGTTTTTGTGCTGTCGAACAGATCTTTCAGGCGACTGATATAAAGCAGACGATTGAGCTGCAAACTTCAAGAAAAGGTTAAACTCCCGGACAACTTGCCTGCCTGCGGTTGAAGGTGGGGTGGGCAGAGGGGTATTTACGTATATATTGAAAGCAGTTTGTAAGTTCTCTTAATAAACATTTGAGTGTACACAACGAAAGTGCATTTTATCCATTATTGATATTATGAACGCATTTATAAAATGCTTTCATAACTATAAAAAAATAAATGGTTATAATTACGGATTAAAATGTACAGATGAACTGAATGCAAACTGAAGGATAATCCGTTACAACCGCTTCTTATAAACGGTATAAAATAAATTGAGTACTTTCGTGATGCTGTCAACCTTTACTGAGGAGTAGCTCACTACGCTTCGGATGAAACTGTAGTTTTCTCAGTAAAATATTCTAATAAGTTCACTAATTTCCATTTACAGATCGCTTTGATTGAATTGCGGTAATTATGCTTGATTCATCCTCGAGCGAAGAAGAGGACGCAGCTGGTGGATTTGGAAGTTATGGTAACAAGTCTTCGGCTTCTTCGACAGCTGGTGCAGGTCGTCGAGGTGGTGCATCCGGTAGAGGAAGTGGAGGAGGAGGCAGCCGACAGTACAGTCGGCCCGTATCGCAGGGCAGAACGGCCAGCACTGGAGCCAGTACTCCAGACTCCCAACGTTACACGGGCAAGTGGGCGAATGGACCAGCCCAAGGATCCACAGGATCAACAGACTATCGTGATCAACCTTCCACACCCTATCGAAATGTTCCACCCAATAAAAGTTCCGTTTCACATCAAGGGTCAGTCCAGGAACGCTCACGCCATTCATCTTCTCGTAGCAACGCGTACGACTCATACGAGGATCGCTCAAGTCATGGCCCATCACAAAGAGGGCCACAGTCACGGTAAGTTGATCCTTCAAAAATAATACTTAAAGATCTTGATCAGGAAAGATTCTTAATAGTGCTGTTCAACCCAGATCAACTATATTTTTAGTTCCGAGAGGTGAACAGAAATAATTACACTATTTTACTCAATTTGGAATTTTGGAAAGCAAGATGCAAGGAATATTCTTGGAAATATTAGTTAATATGAAGTCCAAACTAGCTATACGAGGTAAAATAAAAGATATACCTCCCAAGTTCTCTAATAGGGATATTCACGGATGCCCACAATACAGTGTCAGCAATGGTGGGAAGTACGTCTACCGTGACTGGAGAATTATTAGAGGAAGTGGACATATTTTTCTATCAGGGCAGCTATATCTCACCTGGCGGATGCGTCACAGATGAAGTGTCAGCACAAATACAGAAGGCTTGGTATTTGCCAAGTTGAGACATTTGTGGCGCCGTCGCTACATCCGACTGTTCGTGAAGTGTCGTGTGTGTGCTGCAACAGTTTGGCCAGTGCTGCTACACGGTGCAGGGACTTGACCATTACGAGAACAGCATAAAAATAGATTGTCGCTACGTCGCATTGCACGAGTCTGATGGGGAAACCGGACGAGACCTGGGGCGGTTGGGCGTAAAGATTTAGGTAATTGTGGTCATCCACTGGAGCAAGTGGTTGACCTTCATAGATTGCGCTGGTTGGGATATTTGCTCTGCATGTCAGCAAATTGATTGCCACGGCGGGCAATGTTTTTCTTTAGACTCCCTGGATGGGACCCCGAGATCACGATAATCCGCAAAGTTATGTGGTACAATACATGTACTGCGTTTACCCTGTGTGTGTAGCATCTTAGATACAACAAAATGATTTCAAGTAACTAAAAAATTGCGCATATCGGCTGTCGAGTATGAAGTTCAAACTATTGGGTTCGTTAAAATTCCCTCAGAATTTGCTTATTGTCCGTTAGAGATCGTGATCATTAGGAAATTGTAGAGTTTTTATTATAAAGATTCGCATGAGGGTAAAGATTTTGTAAGACTAATTGAAAACTAAACTGTACCAGGACATGTTATGCAGCAGCCTGTTTAATCACCCAAAACTAGGCTCCTAATTTCCAACCAGAAGACCTGACTTTTGTGCACAAGGATCAGTTGATTCTCATTCGCACTTAATGAATGTTGCAACCTCTCTTGTGCCGATTGGTCAACAGTGACAAGCGGAAGGTTACACAACAAGAACGAAGCCGATAAATTTGTTCCTACCGCCAACGTGGTTAAGCAGGAATATTCAGAACTTGCAAGAAGAAGAGTGTTGGGTAAATGTGATCTGACTGTATGATGGCTTGTAAATATCCGATAACCGATTACTATCGAAAGGTGCACATCATTTTCACTGGCTGGCATGCAACAAGTTAGTAGCGTATGAAGCATTTACGCAGATTTTTAGCATTCTCGTCGTAGAAGACAGGAGGTTTATTTCTGTTCTAGTAGTGGTTTCAACCGATCATTGAATTCCTTTAGTTGATTGGACCAAATGATGGCTCCACCCATGACAAAAGCCCTCACTTCTCATTGGACCAAATACGATCCCGCACCGAAACAGAACTCCATCTACTCGATGCTTTTGTGCATTTCTGTCCCCTCGATCACCAAACTGTCATCATGCCATCCATAGTTCGTAGCTGAAACCTTGCCTCATCGCTGCCCCCGATGTTCTCGCGCCTACGTATCACTCACCTCACTCGATATCGGCTTTCATGTATCTATACCACAGTTGTTCAAACCCTCTCCATGTACGTTCTAAAACCAGAAAGGAATATTCCTACTTTAAAGACGATGATTTTCAAAGTGATTCAACCGCATGCATTGAAATATTCATCTTAATAAACTCTCGCTTGTTATGTTGGGCTGACTAAAACAAAAGAAGACTTTTATAAGTGCTGATTTCTTCATATCGTGAGTAGCTGCCATAGTAGCAGTATTGTACAGTTGTCGAATGCAATGAAGATCAACGTTTAGAACATTCACTGTTGTTAGAGAATTGAGAGCACTGTTCTGGGTGACTATGCCAACTTGTCCGTGATTTATTCTCGTTGGGTAGGATCATCATTTTACTCGACAACTTTGGTGAAAGCTGATAGATGAACTGAATCTAAGGGCGAATAAGGAGATGTAAAAGTGTAGAAAATGACACAGTTCCAAAGGAATGCCATGAACAAAGGAAAAACGACAATAAATCGAATATAAAAAGATACCTGTACAATACTCGCTCTCTTGCGAATCGCCAAGTATACGGATTTCTGCGGGAGCCATTGTATATCAACAAAAATACTCGAAATTATCGATTTTGTGGTACGAATATTTGAAGAACTATCTTTTTCGTACAGTAAAACGAAATACAATTCCCCCTATGAAACTGTTTGTCTCACATTTTCCCCGAAACTTTCCTTGGTATTGGTGTATTATGTGAAATCTTGAGCACTCTCTCCGAGTTGGATCGAATGAATTAGGCTAATTCGACTGTTTTCTTTTTCCTGCAAATACTATTTGTTGTTTCTATTCAACTACTACTACAATAGTCAGTCACAAAATAAATCATTCATTACCTCTCTTAATGATAAACGTGATATTATTTACTTTCCTTTACAACAAACTTACAGTAGTATTTCAGGAAAAGAGTTGAGAATAATCAAAGGATATCAGTGAGTATCGTTACACTTTGGTGCGAGTATTGAGGAGCTTTTTGTTTGTAGGTTCAAAGAGTAGTTCAGGCCTAAAATTGTGGCAACGGGGAGAGTTTGCGATCGAATATTGTCCGGTCAATTAATTAACATCGGCTGGACGAACTGACACTGACATTTACTACATATGCAGTAACATGCGTTATATAACTTAGTCTACAAAGAAATTATCCTATTACCAAGAGGTCATTTTATAAAATGCACTTAATAATGCGACACAGTAGGTTGTCAGCTGATAATAGAAGTTTACCACTAATTAATTGACCTGAACATTTTGTTCCAGAGAGTTTTCTGCCCTCGACAAATGTCAACTGACGAAATAGATTGTTTTAGGTGCACAACAATAGTTCCAGCTGAATATTAAAAAAATCTGTTTGATAAAACAATATATATATATATCCTGAGATATTGTTTACCTCCACATGTTTACAATTCAGACTAGTGGGATATAGTTATGTTCCCGTTGGCCTCAGGTTGCTATCTGGACAACGTGATCAAAGTACAATCAGGGAACTATCCTTGATTTTGATCTGTTACAAGTGACACACTAAACTTGGTGTCATTTTAATCCTTTTTCATAAATAAAAACATCGGTGAAAACTCTCTCGAGCGCACGGATCAAGGCGATCACTAATCTACTTCATTCATGTGAATAGATGGTGTATCAGAAAGAACTAAAGATATGATCGTTTGGAGAAAATTTTGCATTTTATGCACCTAGCTGTTCATTGATCAGTTTGACTTAAAATCTTGCAACAAACCGTATAGAAAGACGAACACTAATCAGTTCACTGACCGGGTCAACAGAAATCCATAAAAATCTGTCTTTGTCCAACTCGTTCACCTTATCCCCGAGCAGCGTGAACTGGGAAAACTGGTCATGATAATTATTCGGCACTGATTCAATTACCATACTCCTATCGATCAATATTGGGTTAGTTGTCGTTTCACGTCTCATCCTCGAGTTAAACTGATTTGCGACAGTACTGTGTTTTCACAAGGCTTTGACCAGTATTAGATCCTCAGTCTAACGACGCAATCAATCACTGGCTGACCAGATCTGATATGTGTGAAGATAGTGACAGATGAACGCAACATCATACCAGAATGTAAACTGCCAAAGGCTGATGGATGGCGCGTTCAAATTTCTGTGGATCTGGTCGATGGAATTTAACAAGACTAAAAACATTCATTTTCGCCTGTTCGCCGAGCGTGGAAGTTAGTTTGTGGATGATTCATCACCAACCGAAGTGACATCTTCAGCTCCGCATGGTGGGGGTGTTCTACTTCTACCCGTTTGCTAATGTGTGTTCTTGAGCAGCTGCTGTTTTTCCCTGTTTCGACGTTAAGCTAGCGCGAACGGAAAGGACGGGCGTTGTTCTGCTGGCTTAGTTGCGGTTTTTGGTCCATTCTCGGGACAAACATGACCTGTTATTGCATCATTTGAGTCTTGAGTTACACTGGCGTGTACACGTGATCCTGCCCAATGTACCTATTTACTGAGCTGATTAAAGAGTGCTAACTCTCTAAGAAATCTGTAGCTCTTTTTGATCGGGGTTGGTCGATGATTCTCTCAGATTTGAAGTCAAATTTATGAATGAGACATATGCATAGCATTTCAAAAAGTTTTCAAATCGGAATGAAACACTGTCTATGTACGAAGAATTAGTCATTTCGATTGGGAAAGTACATAAGATTAATTCAATCAATCAACCAATCAATAAATCAAGTGAGAGATTGAGTGGTCGTACGATTCCAGTAGACGTAATGCCAATAAAAACTTAATTATCATCTGTTAAGCTCCTTTTAGATGTCGTTAGCATGTAAATAGGTTTGAAAAAACAAGGCTTAGAAGGAAGGAACATTCATTAATGATCTTAGAAAGCGAGCAAGCCGGATACTCGAGTTCATATTCGAGCCGTCCAACTAAAGTCCAATAAACTCTTTTGAGGCTATGATTGTTTGCCACTTTTATCGGTCCATAAATTCAGTTTTAATTTGTCTGGTTAATTTAGTAGATTCACTTTGTGTTTAGTTTGCGGTCGGTGAGTTGTACGGGAAAATTGATCAATACAAATCAGCATTTGGGATCAATCTGTTTTTTTGTCCTGATTTTTCAACACATTCAGTTGCAGAACAAAGTTTCAGTTTCACGTCACCTCTCAATTGTTTGTTTTCTCTCCTACCTATACCATTACTACTACTTCCACTACTTCTACTACTACTTCCACTACTACTACTACTACTACTACTACTACTACTACTACTACACCC